CATACAACCCAAGACCCGTTTCGATGGCTGTCACCGGCCGCCAGAACGGTGCTGGTGTCGACAACGTGGAGCTCGAGCTCGAAGGCCTGCTGGCCGACGAGGAGGGTCTGAACGAGGAGGTCACTCTCGGCCTGATCCGCAACCTGAAGATCCCGTCGCCGAACACGACACCGCCGCCTTCGGACAAGGAGGTGCTTTTCCCTTCGTACCTGATCAACCTGGTCACGTCGGAGATGTGGAACAACGGCTTCGTCAAGGAGTCGGAGCGCTTCCTGGCCAACGTGATGCAGTCAATCCAGCAGGAAGTGATGGAGCACGATGGCGAGAACGCTATCAACCCTGGCGCCTTCTGGCTGTCCAACGTGCACGAGATGCTCTCGTTTGTGTTCCTGGCGGAAGACTGGTATGAGCAGCAGAAGACGGACAACTACGAGTACGACCGCCTTCTTGAAATCGTAAAGCACGACCTGGAGAGTCTTGAGTTCAACATTTACCACACCTGGATGAAGGTGCTCAAGAAGAGACTGCAGAAGATGATCATCCCGGCCATCATTGAGTCGCAGTCCCTTCCCGGCTTCGTTACGAACGAGAACAACCGGTTCCTTGGCAAGCTGCTTCAGTCGAACTCGGCTCCTGCCTACAGCATGGACAACCTTCTCAGTCTGTTGAACAGCGTGTACCGCGCTATGAAGGCGTACTACCTGGAGGACAGCATCATCACGCAGACGGTGACGGAGCTGCTGCGCCTTGTCGGTGTGACCGCCTTCAACGACCTTTTGATGCGGCGCAACTTCCTCTCGTGGAAACGTGGTCTCCAGATCAACTACAACATTACCCGTATTGAGGAGTGGTGCAAGAGCCACGACATGCCCGAGGGCACGCTCCAGCTGGAGCACTTGATGGTATGTGACGAGCCGTGCCTGGTTTCGACTCATGAAACTCACGACTAACTTGTGTTCTTTTCTAGCAAGCAACGAAGCTCCTGCAGCTCAAGAAGGCAACCTTGAACGATATTGAGATTATCCAAGATATCTGCTGGATGTAAGTTGTTCGTCCTACATGAATACGTGGAGTCACATTTAGATACTGACTGCCTTGTAGGCTATCACCCAACCAGATTCAGAAGCTACTGAACCAATACCTGGTCGCCGACTACGAGCAGCCCATTAATGGCGAGATCATGAAGGCTGTTGCTTCCAAGGTCAACGAGAAGGGCGATGTCCTATTGCTGCAGGCTGTCGATATGGACGACAGTGGCCCGTACGAGATTGCCGAGCCGCGTGTGATTATGGCTCTCGAGACATATACGCCGTCGTGGCTGCAGACTCCGAGACTCAAGCGCCTGGCTGAGATTGTCTCGGCGCAGGCAATTGCTCAAGAGAAGCAGGACATGGAGTACGAGGAGCAGCCGGAGCTCGCCGATGTGGACGAGATGCCCGAGGCCATTGAGGCCAGCGCCTAGAGAGCGACTCTGGGACTTCGGTCCAGTCTGCCCCAACCCGAGGACTCTCCGACCACAGTGCTTCTTGCACCCTTTGATAGCAACCGCAGTATGAGCCGTGGTCGAAGCCGCAACAGGAAGACATTCAACAAAAAAACCGGCAAGGTCAACCGGATTCACAACTCGCTGAATTTCAGGCGGATACAGCCGCGGACAGGGCTTCAGCTGAGCTCTACCTTTGAAGAAAACGAAAGTGAACCACACTTGCACATTTTGTACGATGATGATAGAGAAAAAACCGACTGGGAGGAAATTGCACAATCACATTGTATTAGCTAGATTTTTTTTTCTCATTCGGGAGGGGCAAATCTCTTTTGGCTTTGTCGGCTAGCTGGAGGTGCTTTTTGCTTCTATTTATTCCACCCTCTTTTCTTTTCACATCCCCATCCCATTATCCCACTCTTGAGATATTCTCAATTTCTTGTGCTTTTTTGTTTTATACTTTTTTGGCATTGCAGATTTTGCTTTTCCTTGGAGGAACTGGTTACTGGCTTGTCCCGCTCCACTCGATTCTGGCGTGTTTTTTTATTCAGTACCCATGTCCTTTTCCGTTGACCCTTTTGTCCTTTACTACATATTAAACACCATTCCGTCTCCATTCTTCTTCCTGTGTGTTTGATCCTAGTCTTGGTTGGTCCGTCGTCGTCAGTCTGACGAAGAAAATGGGCTGAACAAGTCGATCGCAATAGACAGGCGGCAAATCCCCTTTTTGAGCGTTGGCGGTAGCAATAGAAACACGCGACATGAATTTGACTTTAAGTTACCTCTATCTTACTAAAGCGTGCATATATTTCTTTAATAGAGTGAAAATGCATGAGTTCAATGTGACAATGGTTGAGGATTGTCGCGATGTTAAAAGGTTGACTTTCGCAGCACGTGATTGGCCGGCTGTCGATTTTCACTTTTCAATGGGGTAAAAATCTGCCGTTCAGTCAACATGCGACGACATTTGCTACTTACCTTCTTACCACTGCATTTCCAATAAACTGAGAGCCAAAGAAGAACACTGGACGTTTAGTATTTCACTCTTTGTTTTGTCGAAATACCGGCGACTGGCCATCTATCATCAGACCTTTTTTTTTTTTTGAGAAAGTTATCCGTCTCAATAACAACCTCATCACAGTCGCGTATATATCATACTTTGTCTCCCACGTCAAGCACACACAATGGCGGATGAGGCTCCTGCCGCTCCACCGCGGCGCAACCCCAACATCATCATCACCGGCACGCCCGGGACCGGCAAGACCACGCACTGTGAGGCACTTGCCACACGCATAGCCGCGGCCGCCAGCACAACAGGCGCCGCTCCAGCCTCGAACGGCTCCGGCGACGCCGTGCTGGCCGAGCTTCGCCACATTGCCGTCAACGACGTCGTCCGCGACCGCAACTGCCATGACGGCTGGGACGCCGAGTACCAAAGCTGGCTTGTCGACGAGGACCGCCTGCTCGACGAGCTCGAGCCGGACATGACCAGCGAGCGCGGCGGCTGCATTGTCGACTGGCACGCCTGCGACCTGTTCCCGGTGAGCTGGGTCGACCTTGTCGTCGTCTTGACAGCCGACACCGAGTCACTATATGATCGGTTGGCATTGAGGTAACAACTTTGGTCTTCGCACTTTGTACCTTTTTTTCGTTTTCTTTTCTTTTTCTATCGAGTTTTTCCCGTTACTAACAACCTGTCTAGAAAATACCCCGAGGCCAAGATGCAGGAAAACATTGATGCCGAGATCATGCAAGTGCTCCTCCAGGAAGCGCACGAGGCCTTTGACGAGGGCATGGTCGTGGAGCTGGCGTCCAACACGCCGGACGACATGGAGGCCAATGTGGACCGGATCGTGGCGTGGGTGGCCCAGTGGCGCAAAGACCAGGGCATTGACAAAGAGGAAGAGTAGCGTTGGGAAACGTCTTGCCCGTTTATTTTATTTATTTTTTTAATGTTTTTCTTTTTTGCGTTCACAATAGTTGCACAAAAGTTTCTGGTTTCTATGGCATGCAATGGTACGGCGTTTTTCTTTACACACTGGCGGGACTGGAGGCACCTAGTTAGAGATAAAGGATGATTTGACTATACCAAACCGAAATTCGGAAATGATAGTACTGTGATGTAAAGTGAAAAGATGAGATGAGACGGGATGAGAAGGGCTGACTGCGGACGGTTTGTACAACATACGGACGATGTAAAATGTAAATACGGTAGGTTTGGCTGACAAAAGCAGCTCGCTGTGTGCCCCGATAGCGGCCATTAAGGCAGTGGCGGCGCATCGATAATTTTTCTTATCTGTCACCGCCATAACGCTCGCGTTGTAGCGTATCAGCGTCCACCACCATCACGTTGCAGCTTCAGCCTTGGCACGCCCTATAATCGAAGCCTGCTTCCTGTTTGTCATTCATTGCACTGCTCTAATCGTCTTTTCTTTTGCCTCGTTTAAAAAGAAGCACCTCTCCCCTTTTTTCCTCTTCAATCTCATCCTGAATTTAACCTCCGCACCAGTCATGGCGTCTCCGATTGTCCTCAACTTTGTCACTGGCAATGCCAACAAACTTGCTGAGGTCAAGGCCATCCTGGAGCCGGCCATCACAGTGACCAGCCGCAAGGTCGATTTGGTTGAGATCCAGGCCGGCTCCATGGAGGAGATCACGCTGGACAAGTGCCGCCGCGCCGTGGAGCTGATCCAGGGCCCTGTGCTGGTCGAGGACACGAGCCTGTGCTTTGATGCCCTCAACGGGCTGCCTGGTGCTTACATGTGAGTAGTAAGGCCATCTTCCTCAGTCATTGGAATGCCCCGCCTAACAGCTCTAGCAAATGGTTCATGACGAGCCTCGGCCACGACGGCCTCAACAAGCTGCTGGCCGGCCATGAGGACAAGTCGGCCAAGGCGGTATGCACGTTTGCCTACTGCAAGGGCCCCGGAGAGGAGCCGATCCTGTTCCAGGGCGTGACGGAGGGAAAGATTGTGCCTGCCCGCGGACCGGCCAAGTTTGGTAAGCTTCCTTCGCCGTTTTCGTATTTCACCGCACTCAGACACTGACAGTCTCCAGGCTGGGATCCCATCTTCGAGTACGAGGGTGAGACATATGCCGAGATGGACAAGGTAAAGAAGAACACTATTTCCCACCGCTACAAGGCGTTGCAGAAGCTCCGGGACTACTTCTCCAAGGAGGTAAGCGCCTGAGCGTGTAGGTAACAGAGCCAAAAACAACACACTCACAGGCTCATGACATGATAACAAGTAGAATTAAACCAAATAGAGGCTCAATGCGATACCCAATGCCAAAGGGGGAAGAATAGCACTCATAAAAAACTCAAAATTAACTGCCTTTCCCCCAAAAAAATAAATCAATGGAAATTAAACGCTTTTATGTCGCTCTTCCTGTAACGATAACGCGGCGCTTAGTTTGTTTTTGCTTGTATAGGCAGATGCGCTGCATATATCTCAGACACCCATTTATGGGCACAATGACCGTCTCCATAAGATACCATGTACTCTTTGCGCTTTCGCTATGACGCTGAAGGGATAGGCACCGCTGGACTATTCGATGCAGAAGCACCGTAGTCATAGTCTTTTGCCATTGGTTGCAACCTACGTCCTGTTAGCCTTATGCACATCAGGTCCGGTGACGTAAACAGACAGACAACGAACTTGAGAATCTCAAATGCACGGTACCGTGCCAGGTACCGCGTACCACGGCGATATGGTCGTAGAAGCTGGTCATCCAGCCGATGTTGGCGAGATACAAAACGGGCCATAGCCGAGCCGTTGCGGAAAATAGGGTCGAATACGAGCAGATTCATCTCGCCTGTGTTGGTCTTCTCGATGCCGACAATCGTGAGCGAATGGCCCGGGTGCTGCCAGTAAATCGGCGGCAACGTCGTGCTGCGCACTTTTTGCCCTGGCGAGTAGAAGCCCTTGCTGAAGTAGTGCTCCACGTCGCGCAACAGTGCGTCTCTCGACTTCTCTGGTGTCTTATGCTTGAAGGCGTTTATGCTGCAAGGAATATTAAGACTCTGGAACAAAGCTACGGCCTCGGGCGTACCGATGTACTTGCGTGTTAGGCGGATGCCGCCCGTTTCAATGCGGCCTCGGGAGTTGATGCCCTTGTCCCACGCACTCTCAATCAGATTTTGAAGGTCAAACACACTCGGCAGGTCTGTGGGGAACGCCTCATGGCCAGGATACTTGGCTCCAACCATATACGAGGTCATTGTTTGGATGTTACGATACCCACAGAAGCCGCCTACCCAGCGTCAGCTTGTCGTTGTTTCAAAATAGAGTCGTGTGGAACCAAGGGTATGCACACCTTCTTTGGGTAACCTAGACACGTGCACGACACAAGGGTCGCAGAGATAGGCATACTCAGTGGTTGGGTTCTGCTCAAGAAGACCCTGGAGGAAAGGAATCATGCCTGATGAAATGTGTCAGAAATATATACGGCACCCTCTTGACCCTCCGATTGCTGGCTTACCTTCGTGGCGGACACCCCATTCGGTCTTGAGGTAGATTGCGAGCGCGTCCGGCATCCGTTCTTCATTCGCAAACTTGCCCAGCTCGGCCTTACCGAGGCGCTTCGGGACTTCTGACACGGCCTCCATCGCTTTGGCAGTGCTGTTCTTAGTGTTCGAAGAATGCCGGTGCCGATGGACAAGCGGTATGACAGCCTTGTCCTTTTCCTTGTCACGGTCCCCGCGTCTTCGGTCAGATTGCTCAGAGGAAGCACGCTTCCGAGGATCGCCAGAGAACATGGCCAAGAAAGAACGCACAGTCTTCGAGGGCTTGCGAGACAGGAATGTTTGATGCGAGCCACCGCTCTGTCCCAGCGTGGAGAGACCCAGTTCGCCTGTGTGGATTCGGCCATGGCCACGGCCACGGCTACGCAGGTCATGGTGCCGCTGGCGCTCCCGCCGCTCACGGTGCCGCTCACGGCTGTCGTCGCGTGGCTGAGGGGTGGAAGCGACCTCCTCCCGGCTTTCTTTAGTATCCGAACGCCTCACGGCATTAACGGACCGAGACGAGACCGTGGACTTTCGCGAGGCCGTGCGTTGTGGTCTCCGCTCCGGCGGTGGAACTGATGACGCCCTTACCGATTGCGTGCCATGTTCGCCGCCGTCAATATTGAGCACCCGTGCCTGCGTCCCGGGTGGGTTCGCCACTTTGGGTGCCACAGCCAATATCTTCACGCTCTCTTTGCCCTTGCTGATGGCATCGCTGTCCTCCACTGGCGTGTCTTGGTACTCCAGGACCGCATGTAGATCAACATGATAGGCCATCTCTGATACAATCACCGACTCGTGACACCCATCCACGGGACAGTCTGCAAACTGTGGCTCTTCGTTACCATTTCTCTCATCATTGTCGCTCATGCTGTCACTGTCGTCTGGAAAGCCGTTGATGACGACAGAGGTTGCATTAACACCAACAGATGCAGGCCGTGACGCAGGAGATTCCCCCATCTTCTTTCTTGACCGTAGATGCACGGCCTTAGCCTGGCCGATGCCAGAGCTCGCAAGCCTACTATTCGAGCCGCTACCACAATATTGTGGGCAGTTGTCATCTGGATGCTCGTGGCCCACGTGCTTCTGGAGTTCCACAAGTGTTAACCAAGGATCAAGAACTGCTTCTGCACGTTTGTTGGTTGCAGTAAAAAAGGAACGCAAATGTAAGAAAAAGACGGAGAGGGGGTAAAGCGGTTTTCGGGACAGAATGCAACGAAACTCACAAGCAACAGACTGTACTCTGCCGAAAAGAAACCACAAAAGGGGCAAGATAAAATAGCGCCTATCACCTCAGCTTGTTCGTGGGCTGCAACAGCGGCTGTAGCCTTGGAGGGAACCCCATTTGAGCACCGCGGCCGGTGCTTTCGCGTCGTTTGCGCTTCCTGCGTCATTAGCCTAGCCTGTCGCATTGGCAGTTGCAATCACCCGCCAAAAAGAAGCTGGAATCTGGTGGAGAATGCACTGCCGTACTGTTGGATCTTAGTCGGTCCAAGCTAGTTCATGTCGAGTGGAGGCGGATCTTGCCGGTGCAGTTTGCAATACATTCGTATAGTTTTGTTGTTCAATGCTAGCGGAGCTGCACAGCGTGGCTTGGCTATTTCGAAAGCTGCATCTGACGGTTTTGTACCTTTGGGATAGTACAACGAAACGCGTACGGTATAGGCAGCAGGATAAATCAAAACAAAGAAGGTAAAGGCCAATATATCGAAATCAGGAGAATAGAAACTAAAACTTTGGGTAAAAATAAAAACATCCGTCGAATGCAGGACACGAGAATCCTGAAGGTCAGGTCAAAGAGAAGTAGGCGAGATGTAGTCGGATTCGGTGGTGTATATGAACTTAGGAGGAGTGTCGTAGGATGAGATGGATACTATTATATGCATAGTAGGAAAAGGGGCAAAGAAAAAGGCGTTGGGTTAAAGGGTGTTTTGGCATATCGGGTTGAAAGAAAGAAAAAATGGTCGCATCCAATTTGTGCACATCGACCGGACTCTTCTGGGGGCGTGTCGTGGCATGCCTGCCGCGTTGTTGTTTGACTGTCGACCGCTCCTTCCCGCCTTTTGCATATGACGTGTTTTCTTTCCTGTTTTTATTTTATCTTCTTTATTGCTCCGGTCGGGAAGTAGTGATTGGTAGTCCCGTATTACCAATTTATCGACTCACGATTCCCGAATAATAAGACCTTTTCCCCCTTAAACAGAAAACACCATATTAAATGGACAGAAATAGGAGGAAACTGTGTAACTGGGCCGTTCCTTCTTTGCTCAGCCCGTTGTACGCCTCATTTTAGCTTAATTTTTTCGTTGATATGCCGTATTTCACAAACTCACTGACGAAAGTGTGGTTTTTTTTTTTTGCCCCGGTTCAATGTTGCGCAATACTTCCTCTTCGTACATGTCTTTTTCTCACCGCAGTTCATGTCGTATTGGGCGGGAATGCGAACGGATGCATCGTTTGCCTAAGCATATACGGCAAGCAGAAAAACCGAGCTCGGCTTCATGTTGTTTCTCCCACTCGCACCTTCCGTACAGCGCATTTCTTCGCCATTCGTAATAAAAACAAGGCAATTACGGACGGCGCTCTATCCGGCCATTCCACCCGTACTTTCCGTGCCTTGTCGTTTCCCCTTCCCACATCAACCGCCAGTCTGTTCCGTTGTGACTTCCCCGTTTGACAAAGCCGGCAATGCCACTCTTGCCATTTTCTTCATTACATTCGCCTTATATCGCCATCGAGAACACGACAATCACGTCTGTTCTCCCCCCCGAGAAGCGCACCGCCTGCCAGCCTCTTAGGTACGGTACCCCGGTTATGCACACCTGTACTTGCTTGTACGCCGTACGTCGTACGTCTGTACCTTTCATATATGCGCTGCCAAACGGGCAGAGACTACGAAAACGCATTTGCCCGTTCGTGCCACCACTGGCTTTTATTTCCTTCCCAGCTGCCCGTCCCTTTCGTAGCTTTTGTGCCTTAGGGAGCTTATGTACCACAAAGCGGTATTACGGCTCAGTAAGAAGAGTGAGGTTCAACACGGTTGCACGACTCTCGACAGGCACAGACCTTGTTAGCTTTTACCGGTCTTCATCTTCCTTTGATACTGACTGTGGTCTCGTTTTCTTGTCAAGTCCAGGAGGTTGCCAAAATGGGCATACAAGTTTTTCGAGACACACACGGTGCCATTATATACGAGCTCAAGTCTCAGGTTGTTGAACCTAAAGCCGGCCAGTTACCGTTTTCATGAAGCTTGGGCTTTCCCTTCGTTTTTAATATCTTGCCGGGACATACAGTGGATGCAGCTGAAATTTTGAACACCACAAAAAAACTTTATTTTCCTGTCTTGTCTGAGCTGTAGCACGTCTCGCACTTCAACTTTCTTTTTGGCCAAATCAAAAGCAACCCAGGTTTGTGTTCCCAGAATACAGACGCCCACCCCCCCAACACACCTCAACCAACCGGCTGTGCAACCCCAAAACAAGGTTGTCAGGATCGTCATTGGTGTAAGTGGTATGGGCCATTTCGGCGTCGGTCACTCGCTTCGCATGCTTGCCCTCCTTCGCTAAACGGCGCCCCATTTTGGCGCTTTTTCTTTTCTTTGATGGATTCTCGCTATTTTTCTTTACCTGCCTTGCAATTTTACTGGTCGACCATCGTTGTCCTTCTAGACCTTGACGTTCTTCAGCGCATCAGCCGCCTTGCCGACTTCGGCAGCAACAGCACCGGCAGCCGCGGCGACCTTGGGCTTGGCACCTTTCTCGGCGGCCTTGGCCTTCTTTTGCGAGGTAGAGTCTTTGGGGAGCTCCTTGGTGAAGGGAATGAAGTCGGGGGCACTATTTGTCGTTGTCAGCACGACCTTCTATTTCTCCTTTACGGTTTTGATTTTGAAGAGCAGCGCAAGTCACTTACCCAGGCAGGTACTTGCGCAAGGGCTCCGGAACGCGCACACCTTCTTGCGTTTGGAAGTTCTCGAGAATAGCGCCTGACTTTGTTAGCATATCACTATTCCTCGTATCACAAAAGCATATCCACCAATCCCCCACGCCTTGGGTGTGAAACCTCCGGAAACTTACACATGGTGCGGCTGGTAGCGGTCAGGGTAGAGTTCAGGCTGGTATACGGTTAGAACAACGTCATATTTTGTCACATTGCAGCGCATATGTTCAAGCATCCACCTACCAGTGGACGTATTTCTTCTTGACTAGAGACGAAGTTAGTACATATTCAAGTCAGAATAAGGATACTTTATAAAACAGCACACTTACCATCAGTCTGGGTCTTCGGGCCGTAGCGGATGTCCAGGGCGCGAGACTGGTCTGTTTTTACATATAAGCAAATATTCTTCGGGGTAATTAAGGTCCTGGAGTCATATCATACAGTCAGTGCAGTTAGAGCAGGAGACAAGCTCCTTGTACTCCGCCTGGAAGGGGAACCAAGCCCTGAAGCCGAATTAGCACAAGTCATACCACGGATTAGGGGTTGAACAACGACATACTCGAGATCGTATTTCTTGCTGGCAGCCTGGTTGAAGGCACCGCTGACAATGGCGACAACGCGGTAGGGGAGGCCCAGAGACTGGCAGAACTCCTCTGAGTTGGCAATCATAGCATCGAACTGCTCCCAGCTCTTTTCAGGGTCTAGCAAAAGTGTGAGTGGTGAGTGAATAGGCCGTGTGGGGCGGTGACTCTTGGCGAGTAGACAGATGATACATACCGCACAGAACAAACTGCTCGACCTTCTCGAATTGGTGAACACGGAACGTGCCCCACGCATCCTTGCCATGTGAGCCAGCCTCGCGACGGCTGGGGTGTGATGAATTAGCCTTCAAAGGTTATCAGAGGACGTACGGACGACGCATAGTTACTTACAAGCATGTGCTGAAGCCAGCGTACTTGATCGGCCTGTAGTAAATGGTTAGAGAAAGTCTTCCTATATGGAATTGCGTATGGAAGTGCCTTACATCTCATTTGCCTGGAGCCACTGGCCGGAGTGGTAAGCAGAAATCGGTTGCTCCGAAGCTGGACGCCTAGTCAGACTACTCCTTGTCCTGTATGACAATCCTCAGATCAGAGAGTTAAGATGACTCACTCGCTACAAGTCGTTGAGTTAGCATGCGCCCTGGCATCACAAACGTATATAAATAAATAAAAATTCTTACCAATCAGGTACTTTTCAGAGTCACCGTCGACCACCTTGTAAAGTTGCTCACTATTGTAATGGTCAGCTTGCTACCTCTCGAATCGGCCAAACGTCAAACAATGGTTTCTGAACATACTCGAAGTCGTCAAGCTGGGCTGTTTGCGCCATGATCTCTTTTGACCTGAAACGTGTTAGAAGATGAGGTCCAACACTGTCACAGGAGGTTAAGATCCAACATACATCATGAATGGCGACTGCAGGGCAGTGTAGCCATGCTTTAGTGTGAGGAACTCCAGACCATCTAAATCGTGTCAGTATACAATAGTGATTTGACGGATGCCCAACAGTTGTAAACCTTACAGTTGATAATGGCTTGGTTCCTAGTTGCTTTTGGTAAGTCGATGCAAATTGTTCAAAAAAAAAAAAAAAACAAGTATAAAGTATATCTTACAGGAAGACCTATTTTGAAATCCAGTGTTAGCGTGGCGACCAACAAACCACTGCCAAAAATGTCACAGAATCGAGATACCACTTACACCCCAGTTCTTGAGGAAGTAGCCGCGGTGACCAACCACCTTGACACCGGCTTCCGGGTTGTAGCCGTCAATGCGCAGAAGCAGCTCGTGGTGCGACAACAGCTTGCTGCGGTCCTCCTCGCCAACGGCAACTTCGCGGTCAGCAGGTACCCAGGTGGTGATGATGGGGTTGTTGTCCTCGTTGTTGTCGACGGGGACGGAGTCGTGGATGAGGTTGCCAATGGTGCCAAGGGCCTTGTTCATGGCCTTCTCCTTGACGGCGGCAGAGTCGAGCATGTCCTTCTTCTGCTTCTCGGTCGCAATCTTCTGCTGGAGGAGGTCGTCGGCGTTCTCCTTGGCCTTCTTCTTTGCGCCAATCTGCTTCTCTGGGGGGAGGGGAGGTTTCTGTTAGACATATGGTGATGAGGGAGTACAAAGGAAGGGTTGGCGGTTCGTACGGATATCGTTGATCTTGGCATTGAGTCTAGCCAGAGAAAGGTCGTCTGTCAGTAAGTTGTCCATGCGATGCGCCAAACCAAGAACCGTAAAAGGCACATACTGCGTAGCATCGTAGAGGGTTCGACGGTGGTCCTGCCACAGCTCAATAACCTTGTCGACCACATCGGGGTCCGCGTAACGGCGCTGCCAAAAACGTTAGCCCAGTTGGATAGGTACAGGGCGCCAAATTGCACCACGAAGAGTTGCTTCTCGTGACGTGAGACGGCGGAAACCAAAGAGGA